GGTACTCGGGAAAGTGGGGATACAAGGAACTAAAAACCCTAATAACCAATGAAGCAAAACAAGTACTTGTCCCGCCAAGCTGGATCAAAAGGAATAAATATAATGGATTTACCCTTCCTGGATTTGACAGAGATAGTCCAGAATTAATCTTCGAGCACTATGACAAAAGGTTTTCTGTGGAATCAGGTCAGGCATTGCGTGTTTGGGGAGGTGAGGATTTGGCTAATGCGGGTGAGAGCAATAACGGTGAACAATTATCATGCATCGACATATACTTTTTGTATGAATAGTGAAGTAAAAATGTCAAAATAATATCGTCGTTTACACGGGTTCCCTGTCGTTTTAATCGTTTTGGTCTTTCTTTGTCGACAAAGCCCAGGTCGCTTGGCTAGATTCACGATGATGGACAATGTTAAGTGTTTCTTCGCTGTAATATCTGCAAGTTTCGATTCATTTAAATGGCGGGAAAATAATAATAATAATAATGGGGTTCTTATATAGCGCATTTCACTTGATCTCAATGTGTTTTACAATTATGACCAGTGGAGGACTTTACGGGCTGCATATTCACCAAAAAGAAACCTTTGTGCACTTTCAAATAAGGTAAGCTCGGCATCAAATATGGAAATTGAGTTGAGGCCACACGAACGACAATTTCATTTAGTGGGAGAAAGTTTGATTATGAAATTAAGGTCGTTTTAACACTTGCCTTGTCATGGCAACAGTACATATGGTGACCAAATGGTTTGTGTTTTTGTGCATCCCATATAATGGCCTACTTGCACACCAAATTTGAAGGGTGGTCAAAAAATTTAATTTCCCACTTGCTCGAGTCTTACAGACTTACAAACTCTACTCTTAGAATTTACGAATGGATGTTTCGGATAGAACTGACAATCCCAAAATTGTAAAAAATGACCAGTTCCTAAATAATGAGACCTATATTTCTTAGATAGGAATTGCATGTTCTTGTAACTCGCTAATTAATTAACAGATCAAAAGCAGTTTTCCGTGTTTGATACTCTGATCAAAACAAACGGGATGTTGGGAGAACACGAGAGGAGCGTTGGAAATCACGACGCGTAGCGGAGTGGTTTCCAGCTTCTCGAGTGTTCTCCTAACATCCCAAGTGTTTTGATCAGAGTATCAAACACAGAAAACTGCCTTTGATTTGTGTTATGAAATAACAAACGCGCGAAAAGATCGAAAAAAAGCAAAGTCTAAGTAAATTCTCCCTACGTGCCGTCTTATTCAAACTGATCAATGAGCGCGCGCGATAGATTAAAAATGACGATAGCGTGTTTTGATACTCTCATCAAACATGGTTTTCGACCAATCATAGCGCGCGTAGTATCCCAATTATTTTATAAAAAATAATAAATGATGTGAAGACACATACACATCTGAGGAACTTCTCAACATGTGCGCACGGCCCAATTGGATTACTTCGACGATGTGGCTGCCATCTTGAATCGCAAGGCATTATGGGAATCCCAGGGGGCAAAACAAAACAAAGATGCTGAAATGACGACCCCACGATATTTGGGATATTTGCTCAGTTATGGAACTGACCATTAATTCTTAGATAGGAATTGCATGTGCTTGTAACAACTCCCGAATAAAAAAAAAAAACTATATAAAGACACACATACATCAAAGGAACTTCTCTCTCAGCTTGTGGGCACGGTCCAATAGAGGCTTTGTACCATCACATGATGTCAGCCATGACAGGAGCCACAACAATAGACTCGTTCTCCCCTGGGAAACTGAATTAGTTTTCATGTAAATCAGATTAGACCAGATTCAATTGTTCCTGCCTCCTGTCATGGTTGCCATCATGATGGTGCAAAGCCTCTATTGGACTTAAAGTAAATACGAGATGCCATTCTCTGTGCATGATTTATTTGTTTGATGTTTCTCTGTTGGACTACCTCGACGATGCTACAGCCATGGGTCGTCCAGGAGGCAGAACAAAAAAAGGATACTGGAATGACGGCCCCAAGATATTTCATAAATTTCCTCAGTTCTGGAACATTCCATTATTTCAATTAAGAGAGAATTCTTTTCGTATTCAAGCAGTGAGCGCCAAAAACTATTTTCTTGAAGAAAGGCTGTTGTACAAGGCTAAAATCTTGTTATTCACAAAGTTTAAAGTGCCTATAACCTTTATAGGATTATGATCAATTTTGATTTTCTGTGTGTTGGAGATGAATAAACAAAAAAACAAAATTTCGATTGACTAAATATTCTCGGAGATATAACGCCCTAAATAGGCAGTTTTGCCACGTCCCATCGATTTGGCCGGGATCGCGAGGTCTGGTACCTAGTTGGCGTCGAATGATGTCACAACAAGAACGACTTGGCTTCCAATGCGAGTATATACCTTTCGTAAAATCTGGGGTGTTTGAGCACCCAGGAACAACACATCTAGTCGGCATTTTCTTATATTCTGACCGAAGAACTAGTAAGAATCTTTGCTTATCAAAACATTCGTTCTTGTTGTGACGTCACCACTCAGCAAGCCTCTGCTCGGTCCCAGTTTCCCTTTATTCGGTCCAAATCGATGGAGCGTGGCAAAACTGCGTACTTTAGGGCGTTATATCTCCGAGAATATTTATTCATCTCCAACACACAGAAAATCAAAATTGATCATAATCCTATAAAGGTTATAGGCACTTTAATTTGTTTGGAAGTGGAGATGACCGATGAAAGTGGATCAAAGCGTTAACCCAAAGCAAAACTTTTATTCGAAAATGAGGTTTAGGCCTTCATTTGCTTATTTCGCATATATTTTTTATAAAAAAGCCTGACAAAGAAACATTCTAACAGAAATGCAACAAAACATCTTTGTACAATTGAAAATACCGCTTCAAACAGGCATTTTATCATAGTACATCAGTTTCTAACTGTTTAAAAAAGGTTTTGAGTGTTAACCTAAAACGAAAATTGGGACCAAAACTCATACGAAAGTCTAGTTTTTGGCGCTTTTTGCCATTATTGCTTGTTATTGAAAAAAATCCTCTTAATCTCTTGTCAAATTGTCTTGTTGTGAACCTTAAAAGTCAAACGACGCAATTATCGTAACAAAGCTTTGTGTATTTGTTCCCCTGGACGCACCACAATGCCTTGTGATTCGAGATGGCCACCGCATCGTCGAGGTAGTCTATTTCAAACAAGGTGCTCTTGTGTCAGTTATCTTATTATTCATTATTTATTTTTTTCTGCATATTATTTTTATTTTTTATATATTTTCAGCTTTTCAGTTTTTCTTGTATAACATAACAGTTCCACGACAATAAGTCAAATTTAGACAAAAATAAAGAAAAGCTTGGGTGATATGAGTTAGTCATTAATTTTTGTAGCTACTGCCTTACGGGGAAGTAATCCCATATGAATTAATCAAATTTTAGTGCAGAAAGGAAAATTTTTGGGGAGGCACGTGTTCTTCCCTCCCCCCTCACCTACGCTAGTGACAGCAACAGCAGCAGCAACAACAGCAACTGCAACGAGAAAACAAAAACGTAAAAATACCTACTCCCCTTATTATCGCTTCTGTCAGTTTAACAAACGGCGTCTTGGCCAATTGTTTTCATTAGCCCTTTCAAATAATTTAGAAGAATAAAAAAAAGATTTGAAAAACTTCTTACAAATAAAACTACTAAATAAAAATTCCATGCTTCGCTTCTTTTTGCCTTAGCTTCATGATCCGTTTTCCAGCATTTTTTAAAAGACTTCTATAAAAAAAAATTCTTGATAAAAGACAGTATAAAATTTATTTATCTGTCAAAATCCTTTAATTTGATTGAAATTTAGCATTCATTTCTTACTGTCAGGAGTTTAAAGTTGATAGAGCTTTAAAGTTGTGAAGTATTTCCGGGTCCAACTACTCTCAAAAACCACTAAAATAAAGCGACAAAAATGTTCTCAACGATTTAACAATTATAGCTTTGCGCAACAAATCCTGTGATGAAGAAAAAGCAAGAAATATGTTTATAAAACTATTTTTCGTTATGCACCTGGAATCGTTTTTTTTTTTTTGTTTTTTTGTTTGTTTTGTCGTTTTTTTACAAGTGACGTCACACTTAAAAGCTCAGGGCTGAGTTGTACGAAGCCTGGATAGCGCTATCCGGCGGATAAACCCTTATCCAGTGGATAAGTCGATGCTGTTATCCAATAAATTTATCCACTGGATAAGATTTATCAGTTGGATAGCGCTATCCAGGCTACGTACAAACGAGCCCTGTTGTACATGACAGTTGAGAGCGTCGAGAAGCCAAAAGTTTCATGCTAAGAAATACCAATCATGCTTTGGTATAAAAACACGGTTGTATTAGTAACCTAGTGGATTGGGGATATATATTGTGAAGACCAAGTGAGAGGTATCGGAAGAGTAATACACCGATCCCGCATTCATTGTTCTACCTCCCTAGTTACTGTTGCTACGTCGGACAAGCTAAAATGTGTTTTTGATATACCGCATGGAACAGACACCAATTACTGAAAAACGTAAATGTCTGTCTTAGAATCAATACATTCTAAAGGTACATTAACAAAAAATTCGATAACTACTAAAAAAACCTTATGAATTCGAATTTGTTGGACGGACATTCTTTATTCCATTGGGAAAACTACCCATTGTTCGGATGGGCACTCAAGCATAGCAGGAATCGGTGTATATCTGTCTGTGCACTTGAGACAGTACAGCGCAATGTAAAGACTCGGGGTTGAAAATCAAAGAGTTGTCGCAAGATGTTTGACAAACTTAAAGCTGTGTTTTTCAACTAAGATGTAATAATGAATCTGAAATAACACGCGATGATAACATGTCGGCGAAAGGTCTATTTCGCAGTGAAATAAAACTGCGACTTATCAATTTAAAACGCGGGCTTGCGCTGGGAAAACATGGAGAGAGGTTTGTGTAATGCTGTTGAAGGCGTTATGTTTGATGTTGTGATGGCCAGGTTGACGACTGGGTCAATAAAACAAGGGATATAAAGACTCGTATTGCATTGCTCCTAATAGTATTGATCGGGAACACTCGTAATAGTGTGATAATGTTGGCTTTGGGAATTCTTCTCCTCTGCTTTGGGCCTTCCTTTCTTGAAGGTAAAGTTAATTCTGCCTCTTTTCTTCCTCTTTGCTTTTTCTTGAACAAACTTGTATTTTTCCCTTCCCTTTTTTCTTTTCTTTCCTTCTCCTTCCTCTTTGCTTTTTCTTGAACAACTTACATAGTTTTCCCAAGAGTTTGCATTTCTTCCATTTTTCTTTCTTTTCTTTTTCTTCCTTACCTCTTCTTCTTTTTTTGCTTTTCCCATGGACGTGCTTTTCAACTTTATCATATTGCAATGTTCCGATAGCTGTAGTCATAGTTTTCTCAAACGAAACCGTCTGCAAGATTCCCGATTATTTTTGCTTTTTTTTCATCTAATTCTTCCTTCTCTTTTTGCTTGTTTTTCTTTCGTTTGTCAAGAGTTTTTCATTACAATTGACTCGGATCCAGTAATTATACACTGTTTCGTCTTCCGAACATCAATAATATACTCTTCTATATCCTTATTTCAGCTTGTGGCATAAAACCATACAGTGCACGGGTCGTCAATGGAGAAACCGCTCCTCAACACGCCTGGCCCTGGCAGATTTCTCTCCGTGTGAACGGAGGACACATCTGTGGTGGATCTCTGATCAAACCTGACTGGGTTCTCACTGCAGCTCACTGTGTGGAAAGAAACCCCAGACCAAGTGGCTACACCGTTGTTGTTGGTGAGTAAACTGTAAATGAATAGATAAGAAAATGAATGCATAAAAAGATAGGAGAGACGAAGACGAAGACGAATCGATACAATGGTTTGACATGAATGTCAGTGGACCACATATTTCATTACCTTACTTTATTATTTCTTATTATTTCTTATTTTATTATCCAAAAAAAAAAAAAAAACAACAAACAAACAAACATTATTTTGCCCTTTTAAATAGCTGTCCTGAAACCCCTCAATATAGAGGTTCTCATATTTTTCACCTCATTTTAAATGTACTTTATCATGTTATTTATTCTCTTTTTTTCTTTTCTTTGTTTTTGTTGTCGTTGTTGTTGTTGTTTTTTTTGTAAGTAGAGTCGACCGATCAGAAAGGAGCCTCGCCATTTAAAATGTGAAAGAGTTGATTAAATAAATAGTGATTTTTTAAAAAAATTATTTGTTCGTATATTTACTTTTTTTCTTTTCAGGTGCTCACAATCTCTACTCCTCGACCCGATACCAACAAACATTCCGTGTTGTTCGCCTTCATATGCACTCAGGATTCAGCATGAACCACTTCCGGAACGACGTCGCTCTTCTCAAGCTGGAGAGACCCGCTCAGCTGAGTTCAGCCGTTAATCTTGTGTGTGCACCTCGAGCCAATTCACGTATACCCGCGGGCACTCAATGTTATATCACTGGTAAGGTTTTTTCCCCATTTGGATGTGTCTGGCAATGTGTCATGCATGACTTTGAAAAATCTATTTTCTTTTTCATCGGAAAGCAGGGGGAAGATTATTTTTCAGTGACACGAGCATGTTTACCAAATCGATGCTAAAACGCATTTTGATTTTTTTTTTTTCGGATGGAGGAAAATCAGATAAGCACACTAACCGGCCCTCTTAACATATCAAAACGCAAATCTAGAAATCAAACCCGCGGCCACGCCTGTGAGAGGTGGAGCGGAGGAGAAACAGTAAACAATAGTAGTATTCTTAAAAATCTACTAAAAATTTATTAGGCTTTAGCTGTTGTATCACAGCTTGACACCAACGAGGTGAAAACCCAAAGATCGAATTGGAATTTAGATGTTGATTTTTGAGGAGAAAAAGGGAGAACCCGGAGAAAAACCCTCGAAGCAGAGAAGAGAACCAACAAACGACTCTACCCACACGCCACCTGTCCTGCCGGCCTTGAACCCACGCCGCACTGGTGAGAGGCGCACATTAGATGCGCACACCACCCCGTCCCGTGCTTCCCAGTAGTACCCAATATATTCTTTCTGATTTCTTTCGTTTTTTTCACTAGGATGGGGCCGCACCGTCGGTGGTGGCTCGGGTGCCTCGGTCCTCCAGCAGGCACCACTACCAGTAGCAGGAGATCGTGAATGCCAAAGAGTAAATGGCTATATGATTCCGATTGATTCAACTTCTATGATCTGCGCCGGTGGACGAGGCAGAGGTGGTTGTCAAGGAGACAGTGGTGGACCATTTGTCTGTAACGAGGGTGGTCGATGGGTTCTCCGCGGTGCCGTTAGCTGGGGACATTCCATGTGCCGTACTGATCATTACACTGTTTTTGCTCGAGTCAGCAGCTTCATCGGTTGGATAAACCAACGAATACGTTGAGGTAAGTCGAGCGATTTCCGCATAAGTCGGTTTACAATGCCAATTTGATATTGCAAAACAAAATTTTGGGGTAAGAGATGTAGGATTGCCACACCCACCAAGGAATCTCGCAAGTACGCGTCAGGGAGGAATACCAAGCCTTCGGGAAGACTGCAACCCCTTTTAAAAGACAATTGACACCTTTTATAGAGGTTTGTTGTACATTTGAGAAATGAATTGTGGCAATAAGGGAGAACGGTTGTCAACTCATCAGGGACATTTGCCAAAACTAGAGAAAAATATATTAAGTTAGGGAGGTTTTTTAGATCTCCACTTCTTGCAGCCCTAAGGGAGGATTGCCAAATATTGGGGAGAAGGGCTAGGCTGCTACGCAGTGTATTCAAATTTTCGTTTTCATTCTTCATTCATTCACCTCATCAGGGACATTGCTAAAACTTTAGGGAGAAAAATATATTAAGTTAGGGAGAAGGTTTTTTTTAGATCTCCACTTCTTGCAGCCCTAAGGGAGGATTGCCAAATATTGGAGAGAAGGGCTATGCTGCTACGCAGTGTTTTCAAATTTACGTTTTCATTCTTTCAGGCAACCGCTACCAATCCTCCAAGAATCCGAAAAAATAGATGTAGTGATTGATTCAAAATAAAGGAATGTGATCAATATTGATCGCACCGAGATTCGTTTGTGTGATTTGTCTTGTGACTAAGGGTTTTTTTAACAAAATACGCCCCCGCAATAGAAAAGAGTTTCTGAAAAATTCAATGCACTTGCCATAGATTTTAGAGAAGCCAACAAAGACATTTCCTGTGATCGAAGTCGTACCCATTCGCTGCTTTAAAAAAACACTTACCGCCGTTGGAATTTGGAATTTGAATGCAAAAATGGAACCATAATTACACGTATATATATATCTTTTTATAATTGCTACTGTATTTGATAGAAATAGCAATACTTGCTTGTTATCCTAAAGTCTGTACACTTTACAATTACACCCCTTTATGCATTATCTTGAGTTCTTTGATGGACGTCCACTTTCGCTTCCCTTTCTCGAGGACGATCCCGATCCTACAAAAAGATATTCACAGTACGACGTTAATGAGGCCTTGCATCATCACGTGACGGCAGCCATGTTAGATGGTTGGAACAATACAAAATACAATCGTTTTACAAGATAATGAATCGTATGGGTTTTATCTTATGGCAAATGGGTGTTATTGTTCTGTCACTTAACCACAGATAGTCCTGTGTTTAGATGGCACATGATGGTGAAAAACCGCTATGGTCGCTTCAAGTTGAACATACATTTTTGAAGAAAATATATCTTTTAAGTATAAATGTAGGGACGAGGTCAAAACAATGTTCCAAAATAATTGTGTACCCGTTAAAACAACCCCCAATTCCCAAAGAGACTTGTGAAATGCTTCCCATTGGGCGTCATCATGATTGTTTCTATAAATAAATAAGTTCAAACATATATATATAACTTACGTACAAACAGACATAATTAACTCTGCAATTTAACTTTCGATTTTGGAGATATTTGCATGGGGACAAAATCCAGGGTAACCCTGGTCACCGGGTAAACCCTTCCACTCCCCTTTGAATCGGGTCCCGTAAGATACCAATAGGGCTTTTTCGAGTTCCAAATTATTGCTGTGTTCCCTGATAACAAGCTCAGTTACTCAGGGATAGTCTCATTTAAGCGTCAGAATATCAACGGTAGACTAAAGAATGCACAAGTTTAACGATACAAACACTTTGAAATTCCACAGACCTTTACTGGAACACATTAATGTTCTACATAAAGTCAATGTTAACCCTGAGCAACTGGGAACTCGCAACTGGAGTATTGATGGTTTTCACAGCCGCCATGTTGGATGATTTCATTAGTCTCTTTTGTTATATCATCCAACATGGCCGCCGTGTCCTTTGTTATTCCATTCTCTTGGGAATGATTGAAAACCAGCAATTGTTATGAAATTATATCTTGAAGCCATAAAGTACCTGGGCGATTTAGCTTAGATGAGGATCTTGTTGGTGACATTGATCTTCCAAGTGGAGGAGTCGATGAAGACTTTGCTTTTAGTGGCTGTTCGCTTAAGTCACGTGGTATCTTTGGTCGCGATACGAAAGGGTCTTTTAATGAAGAACTAGAAGATTAAAATTATCATTTATTTGTTAAATCATTATTTCTTCCAGTCCGCTCTTCTTTATTGCCTCGTTCCTCCTTCATTCTTTCGTTGATAATTATTTCTTTCAAACGCTCGATCATTGCTTCATTAACTTTTCATTGTTCATTCGTTAATTACTCAATAATATATATCCTCTCATTTATTCATTCATTTATTCATTCATTCTTTAAATCTCATTTACTCATTCGTTCTCTCATTTACCTATTTAATCATTTCAGTCAAGTCATTAGGTATGTCAGTCGGTGGGTGCGTCGGTCGGTCGGTCGGTCGGTCAGTCGGTCAGTCGGTCGGTCGGTCGGTCGGTGGGTCGGTCGGTGGGTCGCTCGGTCAATCTACCCATTTATTTAATAAGTTATTAATTCAGAAATGGGAGATGACTAATACCAACCCTGCCGTTTCCGATCTGTGGCTTTGTCTGCTTTCAAGAGCTTGAACATTCTTGTCACTCTGTATCAAAACATAAGTAAATCAAAATCTACATCTCGGGCGTGATGGGCACTATTAAATACAGGTAAATGGTACAAACTTTACACCAATACCCTAAGATCGACTTTACCTCTTTTTGAGTTGAATTTTGGCTTTGATTTGAAACTGGCCTAGAAGAAGGCCTAGATGAGGGCTTCGAAGTAGGCCTTGAGGTTGGCCTATTTCCTGACGATGTAGCAGGGCGTTCCTAGAATTTGTAAATATAACTTTGAAATAAAACTAGCCGGAATTTGGAAGACACAAACGGGATTATCCTTTTTATGGTCATGGTCTTAAAGTGAATGTATTTTTAAAGATGCTACGGATAGCGCTATCCACTCGTCGTGCAACCGGGAACCAGGGCCCGGTTGTACGAAGCCTGGATAGCGCTATCTGAAGGATAAATCCTTATCCAGTAGATAAGTCGATGCTGTTATCCCATAAATTTATCCACTGGATAAGATTTATCCGCAGGATAGCGCTATCCAGGCTTCGTACAACCGGGCCCAGGAGGTTAGTGATTACACTGTAGAGAAGAAGAAGCAGAATAAGGAAAAAGAGGCTGGGCAATACTTAAAAGGATTTTAAAAGAAATGCAAAGAGAGTAAGCATATAGTATTGTCAGTGGTACTTTATGACTGAATTCTCCTTACCTGACTTGAAATTGGACGCACTGTTGAGGTTTCTGGTCTTTTAGAGAAATCTGAAGCAAATGAAAAAAATTATATATTAGTTTTTTAAATTCAAAAGCATAAGGACTTAAGATTTCTGGTAGTAAAGGATGCTGACATTATTCGGTTTGTGAACGATGCGTGACATCTACAGTCTGACCAGGACTAATCTAACTAGTATGTTTTATACCTTGTACTGACTGTATGGAGTCCGTGGCCCTCAAACGTGGAGTAGTCGGTCTTGTTAATGGGTGATCTGGTCCCAATTCAGTGGTTAGCTGTCAAAATAACAAGAAACACTGGCAATTTTAAAGGTTTCCGAGTAATGGTAAATAAGGAGGCTAAAGTAGAGAAAATGATAAGACAAGACTTGGCTCTTGAAGAATAATATAGAAGTATGAAAATAGAAATGACAAGGTTAGCGATAATAATGATGTTTTTGATGATGATGGTGATGATGATGATATTGAAGATGATGTTGATGATGATGATGATGGTGATGGTGATAGTGATAATATTGATAATGATATTAATGATGATGACAGGATTGATGATGATATTGATGACGATATTGATGATGGTGATGGTGATGATATTGATTATGGTGAGAGTGATGATATTGATGATGATATTGATGATAATATTGATGATGATATTGATGTTTATGTTGATGATGATGCTGATGATGATGACGTTGCTGATGGATGGTGATGTCGATGTTGTTGATGATACAAAACAAATCTAGGCTTGCTATCAATAGACGTCACTTCCGGTAATAGCTGCGTTTTTTGATCTTGGACGTTGTTTTGATCTCTTGTTTTCTGGTTTCATGTCGTAGAAAAAGTCAAATACAATAGTTTGAGGACTTATTTTGTCATGTTTTGACTTAACATCCGCTAGTTGCCCCTCAGTCAACCGATGGTTTCGGCCCCAAGTCAACTCCACAAAGTCACGTGATTGATAGTAAGCAATTGCTAGAATACTATCAAGATACCCACCTTGTTCTTCATTTTGTTAGGTTTGGTTGGACTTCTTCCCTGTAACCACAACATAATAAATATCAAAAATCAAATACTTGTCATTAGCCTCTTCCGCAAGCGAATCCCTTTGCTTTGTTTTTTGTCATTTGTTTCTTGGGTGGGCTTCCTGTGGTGGGTAGATTACTAGGACCCCTCCAACAGGGCTGAGAAACCAGTCAGCGGTTGTACGTAAAATCGCAGGTTCACCTGCTTTCTATTAAAAAATGCCTATAGCTTCGAAAAAATATCAAAATCAGCTACAAAAGTCCAAAAGTTAATAAATAGCACACACAACGAAGTGAAGTGAAGTGTGTTGGAGTGAAGTATTTTACTCACCATGGCATATTCAGTTGTCAACAATTCCTCTCCAGTCAGTTCTCCATTTTGTGGTTGTAGAATTTCTTGTTTGTCAAGCTCAATGTCTACGACATCGCCCTCCTAAAAAATAATTGACAATAATATATTATATAAAAATTAATTTGCCCCGTATTGTTTTTACGCTATTTATTTTCTTTCAATTGATTTTTTTGTAATTTATCCTATAAGCTTATCCAATACAATACAACTATGTAAATGTAAATGAGCTTCACTTACGTCATCGTCGTCATCTTCATCTTCGTCATCAGATTCTGGATCATTTGTTGCCATGGGATTTTCTAACAACAAGATAAGGATTTATATGTTAAGTGTATGCTACATCGAGTGTATAAGCAGATAAAAAAATCGGCCTCAGTTGGGTTCTCGCGGGACTAGAAGAGATCTCAACCGCTCGGACACTGAGGCTTTTACCTTTTACCGAGTAACAAAAACACATTTCATAAATTAACAAAAGGATTTATTACTCCATCTATCTACCCATCCATCCACCCATTTTTTCCGTCCGTTCGTTCATTCTTCCATTTAGTCATTTTTCTAAATTTTTTATTGTTTATGCAAGTGAACTGACCTTTTCATACGACACAAGTTATCATTCCAGATGGAATAATAGGTATTCGTTGTAATCCATGTTAGCCTTTAAAAAAATTAAATTCCTGCAAAAAAGTCTAATAGGTTTACCTGTATTTAGTTGCTTGATGATGAACTGTATTTGTCTTTTCATGTCAGGGTTCTCATCTACTAGAAAACATTCCAGAATTGACTCCATTCCCTGCAATCCAAGGCAGTCATACGAGAATTACATAAAGCACTGATAGGTTGAACTTTGCACAAATATAAATAGACCGTTTTCTCAAGGTTGCGTGAGCATCCAAATTTAAGGAACTTGACAGGCCACGATACCAAAACACGAGTATTATCATGCATTGCTATGAATTTTTTTGCGATAAGTATTCACAAAATCGATTATTCTCCTCTTTAAATATAAAACAGTCTTCTCAATTTTACTGAATTTGCGTTTTTCAGTTTTGTGGCCCGTCAAGTTGGATGCGCACACAACCTTGAGAAAACGGTCTGTTGACCTTTACAGATTGAAGACATTGAATGCAATGTTTTCTCAATTCAGACCACATGTAATTATTTCGAGAATAAGATTATTTGTTCGAGCTGTATCCACAGAAATCTCTGTTTCTAAAGAAAACAAAGAACAGAACTCGGGAAATGGCGAGTGGTCGGAAATGAGCAAACACTACACCCAAGGTAACGAGGCCTGTACTAATCAGCAATATTTTCAATCGACGTACAATTCCCCAAGCCCAATTAAAGCAGGTCAAGAAAATCTGTAAGTTCGTGTCGAATGAAAGTGAAAAGTCCTTCAATTCATAAGTATTATTAGTTTACTAATAGCGTTACCATTGCTCTGGCTTCTTCTTTGATGGCAGGTAAAGCAAGAATACTGTATAGAGCTCCATTCACATAGGGTCTGATCTGTAACAAGATTAAACAATTACTAGTGTCATAAATACATATTTATTCATGTCACAAACACTATCCACATTAGCATAAGTGTGACCATCATCACAACCATCCTTATAACCACCACCATCAACACCAAAACCACCACCACCATCACCTCATCACCACCACTGTTATAATCACCTCCAACATCACCACAATTGTCACAATCACCACCATCATCATCACCACTATCATCACCATCATCACATCAACATCACTGTTACAATCCCTACCCACATCACCACAAGTGTCACAATCATCGCCA